CCCCCCCCCCCAAGGTGGTGGTGTTGGTAACAGAGGGGTCGGAGGAGTCCAAGCTGCGCAACTCGAACAGCAAGAGCAAGTCCATCACCAGGGCCCTGCAGACGAGAAAGGACAAGTTCGACATGTACCAGGACGATGATTCGATGGTGCCCCCGGGCCCACGGCCACGCATGGTGAAGCAGGAGATGGTCATCATGGAGTACCACCTCAGCCAGGTGAAGTAAGGACATTGGCGAGAGATGTACCGGTGCAATGGAAACAGCTCGTGTCTCCTGTTGTGGCGCTGGGTGATACGTCGAACATGCACACCAAAAGCAAGGTGTGTAGACTAGCGACGCAAGAGATGAGACAGATATACGCGTACACAGCAGTTTCGATTCCCTTCTGTTTTGTTGTTGCTTTTTTATTCTTGACGGGTGGATTCTTTTTGTCGCGGTGTTTTGTTTCGTGTGCCGCAGGGATTGTGTCTTGGAGGTGCAGGTGACCGGTTATACGTTAATTTTTTCTCCTTTGATTTTTTTTTTTGTTGTTGTGTTTGCTGTTTGCGTGGCGCTTCTTCTTTCCTTCTCGAGCGCACCCCGGCGGCACCAATGGACGATTGATTTCACCCGCTTCAATCCGTCCGGGCCATTTTCTTGGTCTGACTGGATGACCTCCTCCAGCCCAAACAATCATCAGTGCCCCCCCTTCCCCCTCCGATCACTCGCGCTTGATTGTGCTGCATACCCTCCTTCGAAACGAAACACGACACGAGTGAAGGTCGGTGGGCACCAAAGGAAACCCGGGCGAGGCAGGAAGGCCGGGGCCGGAGGCGGCAAGGGCAGAGGCGGCGGCGGCGGTGGGGGGGTGGGTGGGGTCGGTGGCGAGGATGGGTGGCGCTTGTCGGCGGCGCAGAGGGCCACGCTTCTGGAGGCGTACAGCGACGAGCCTGGGACGAAGGCGTACATGCCCAACCCGGTGTCGGGGTGGAGGCGGCAGAGGTGCCCGCTGGCGTCCAGCAATGTGCGTATTTTGTAAAAGTGTAGGCTGTGGCTTGATTATTAGCTGGGACTGCCGTTGATGGAGGGAAATGGTACACAGAGGGTGCTTCTTCGGCACCAATACCACTGAGATCATCATCGGCTTTGGGCTTGCTTGGAAGATAGTAGAATAGATGGTGAGAACTTCTTGTGCTTTTTTTTTTTTTTCGGAAGAGCGATGACGACGGAGTAGTCTGGGGCCCTTTCGATCCCTCTGCTTGGGACTCACTCTTGTTTGGTCTTTGGTAGTGTTGATTGGTGCACTGATGCGTACCGCTCACGACGGATATTTTCACGTTTTTGTGTGTGTCTTTTTTTGTCTCCTGCTGAACGCTTCTTGGTATCTAGACAGTCCCCCCCCAAGTGCATACCGTCGAGCTTGCGTTCATGTTGTTGGCTGCATTACTGTGTTGGTAGAACACAGGGCTCTCTCTGTCTCTCTGTCTGTCTGTCTCTCTCTCTCTCTCTATCTCTCTCTCTCTCTCTCTCTCTCTCTCTCTCTCTCTCTCTCT